TCGAGCAACTCTTGCGCTTCTCTCGTGCTCTCCGAACTCCCCGCGTGCATCCATAACTCGATAGACGCACGCTAAGCATGAATCAATTCTTAAGCAATTTATATAGTAGTGACAAATGCTGAGAATAATCGTTAGAAATGATAAATATCAATTTGAACAATTGTTGCATTGGCAACCGGGAAAATCGAGCTTGCTAATTGATCTACGAAAAATTGACACATTTTCAGCAGACTTTGCAGACGAAGCTAACTGATTCCAAATTCGAGAAATAATATGTAAAAAAGACTTGTGCATGAATTGAGTACTGTAAGATTTCTGTTCAATATTATGGCCTTTGTTACGTAAATTATAAGTTACAATGCGGGGCTTAAATTACTAACGTAATTTGGGCCATTTTTCTTGAAACATTTAAAAAATATGACGAGCGATTTTTCTATGCGTCTATTTCATAATGATCTCATGTCGATTAATTTAAGGACAGATTCATAAGACACTGAGGCTCCGTCCACACGTATCCGGATATTTTTGAATTCGCAACTTTTTCTTTCCGGATACGAAAATATCCGCGTCCACACGCCATGTGATCACAGCGTATTCAAATCGAATTCGCCCGTCCACACCTATCCGGATTCACTCCGGATTCACTCTAGTACCCAGGATGACTCTATAAATATTGGTTACGGAGCATGCGCTGCAGGAATTCGATGTTTCGGTTTACGTGCACCAGTTCAAACAGTTAAAAACATGATGAAATCAGGCAAGAAAGCTAAGAAGAATGAGAGGAACAAGCCAGAATCATTCTTATGGAGCGACAACGAGGTAGAGTTGTTATTGAACGTGACAATATTGAACAAAGCGGCAAAATCCATGGAGAACATTGACTGGGAGTCGTGCCAGAGTAAATATGGCAATATTTAGATCGCTTCGTAAATCACTATTTGCCTTTGATCGGCAGCCATATTTAACTTTATAATTTGGATATATCAACAAAGTTGAAAACAAAGTTGAAATGGTAAATTGGCCACCGTAATGATTACAAAAGCTGACGTTTCGAGCGTTAGCCCTTCGTCGGAGCGAATATTTAACTTTGCGCGGTAAACACTGGCGCCAATTTTGTGAGGTCATCGTAGCAGAAAATATCCGGATTCGACCGTCTACACGTAACCAAAATGTTATCGGATTCAAAAATTTCCACTCTGGAGAGCGGATTAAAAAATATCCGGATTTGCGCGCGAGATCGCCGGATACGTGTGGACGATAGCCAAATCCGGAAAGAAAAAGTTGCAGATTCAAAAATATCCCGATACGTGTGGACGGGGCCTGAGTTATTTAAGTTAAAACTGTTATTAGATCATAATGGTTTCCCTTTTCTAGTTTATTACTTAACGTTTTTGTAAGACCAATGAAAAGAGGATTGCAATATTCGAAATGAGGCAGAGTAAAGCTTCTGTAGAGAGCTATCGTTGTGTTCTTTGGTATTACGCATTTTATGCGTCTCAGTGCCCCTATTTTTGTATAGACTCTATGAAGGATATCCTTTATGTGTTCCTGGAAGGATAGTCTAGATATTATCTAACTTTATTCCCAGGATCTTGAGGTGGTCTTTGGTTTCAATAGCACTTTTTTCAAATAGTTCGTAATCGTACTTTGATTTACCCATTCTCATTCCTTGCATTTTCTCATCGTTAGATTTCAGGAAATTTTCTTTTAGCCAGTTGGAGAGTTTGGCCATGTCTTGGTTAATGATGTAATGATCTATTGGGCTTGTGTTGGAAGCATAGGGTCTCCCAGATCGTGAGTTTGACAATATTATAAAATTCTATCCAAGCAAGAGTACTCTTCGTTCTAAATGGAAAAAAAGAATTCAAAAAATAAACATTGGTAGGACCGCTGATCTTTCCTTGCGAAAGGTCAAAAGGGATTAACTCCTAGGTAGTAGAAACCTTATAGCCACAAGTGCATTTTGAGCCTGAGGTTTTGAAAGGAAAGTGAAGGAGTGCTGTGTGGGTAAAAATTGCAAACGTTCCCTATTAGAGACGATAAATTACGAAATGCTGCAGTGGTAGGATAAAACCCTTTTTAAATTTTTTGTTTATTTTTACTCTATCGGGGAGCTGGGATGGCGCAGTGGTGAGAGAACTCGCCTCCCACCACTGTGGCCCGGGTTCGATTCCCGGACCTGGCGTCTCATGTGGGTTGAGTTTGTTGTTGGTTCTCGTCCTTTCTCTGGGGGTTTTTCTCCGGATCCTCCGGCTTTCCTCCCTCCGCAAAAACCAACATTCCAAATTCAAATTCGATCTGGAAACAGTGGACAAGAATAGCCACCCAGTGGATGTCCATTGCTAAATTATTTATTTATTTATTCATCTATCGACTAAATGCAAGAGCCACCTACCAAATTCCTGGCAATTTCCAAAGATTGAGAGGAACTCCAATGTCACACTGTTAATTTTACAACTGCAGCTCAAAGGCATACAATTGAAGATTTGTTGGAAGTAGCTGAGGAAACGGATGAACCATTCACAAGATGAAAACCGTGCTTCTCATAGAATCGATGAGCCCTTTTATGCACACAGGTCGTATCCAAGAAAATTCTATCATAGTGGTGAATTTTTGCGTAGTTCACTGCCCTCTCAAGCAGTTTCGCAGCAACACCTTTCCCTCTATATTCAGATGAAACATACATCCTCTTTAACTCTGCGATTCTTGGTTTATGGCTCTCCTTTTCAAGAAGTCCAACCATACCAATAATTTTGTCACGCCACACAGCCACCCACATGTGACTCCCGCTTTGGATCATGTAGGAGTTCTTGATGTTTTTTAAATCTGCTTCCAGGCATCTATTTATGTATTTCCAGCCTTGGTAATAGGCATTAAGATAAAATGTTAACATAGTAATGAAAACAATTACAAGATAACTGCCAATAATGTAAAAAGACCATAAAAATGATAGGGAGAAGAGTGTGAAGACACTCTCAACCCCTACGTTAGCACAATATCGTGGCAAATCCACCTGCAACACATCATTTATCGACGCTTCTATGCCTTTCGTGAAGATTTCTCGGCAGTCCTGCAGGTCAAAACTCTGAAAAGCGCGTATTTTGACATCGTCCAAAGCAAATGTGGCTGCTAAATCTGATTTATCTCCAGTTCTAATCCTAGGGAGTAAAATGTAAGTTCTTAATGGTTACGTTACACAATTTTTTTACTTTTATTTTCATCAAAAATTCAAACTGAAGTTAGTCACCAATAAACGACCAGTAGTTCCAAAGGGAATTTTATGTCAGGTGGAAGTAACATCCTCATCAAATAAATAATCAAGCATTTCTTGAGGATTGTAATTTCCTGAGTGCAAGTTCTAAGGTATGCATACTGCTTGAGAGGAAGTGGCGAATGAAATGATCGGGACGAGCTTTGAAGTGCCGCTAGAAATATTACGACTAACACGATGTCGATGCTAGCGATTACGGCCTATAAGAAAAAAAAATTCGCTGTCGCTATTTAAAAACTCATTTCTTTCGACTAAACCGCACAAAGAAGCGTCCACTGAGCACAACTGATCTCATCTCTAATCCAACGATATTTCCAGCAGGAGATCTGACACATGGAATGAACTTGGCGTTTTCCGTCATTGTGCTCGAATCATGCATTCGACCTAATGTTTGGTTCAAGTATCTACAGCGCGATCATTAAAGTGTTCAATCCCTTTAGCCTTGTTTAAAAGCACACAAGAAAGGCTACCAGTTTGAAGTTCTATTCCTATCTATTGAAACAGTTAACTGATAAAGCAAATAATCTAATGCCATCCTCTTCTAAAACTTTAAACTTCATTATCATATCGTAAGTAACTTGTTTCTACGTTGTTTGAGTACATGGTGTATCAGTTCTCTCATCGAAATTCTCCATCCGTTCGATCCCGCAATTTGCTCCTTTTTTTTCAGAATTTAAAGTGAAGGAATCAAGATATAAATAAATATTGCCACACCCTAGCGAAAACAAATCTGTTGACAAGCCAGTCAGGGTTCAACTGGTAGCTTAAACAAAAGTCGGTAGTTTCATGTTAAAATTTGCATATCCCTAGTAACGCCGTCCAAAATCAAATGTGGTACACTGACAACATTATAATAATTGCTTTGACAGTCCTTCGCCTCAGTCTGGTAACTTCGAAGCAAAAACACTCGGTCTTTTAGTCTTGGAAGGGGTAACAATGCAACTTTATGTCACATTTATCACTGGATGAAATAATGGATTTGACCAAATTTGGCTCTAGGTCAAATGTGAGACAATTCTGACTTTACATTTGTCCTGGTCTCAAAGACGTCAAATGTGTGACAAATCTGTCATATTTGTCCCTGATAAATGTAAGACAAATACTGTTTGAATATAAAGACATATTTCATTCAACGACAAACATTAGACAAAACAGACAAATGTGTTCAACATCATACGAACCATATGATGCACGATCCTCGCAGTAGATAGCGCTATTTAAGCAATAGCGAAAATCAGACCTGAAAAAAAAAAAAAAATTCAGGCCTGTACGGGATTCGAACCACTGACCTGATCATACGAACCCTATTTCGCCCCAAGGAGACGCTTTTTCACCCGCGCCCCCCCTTGTATGATCTATTCAGTTTCCCTATTTTGTATCTCTAAGGAGATCACTCAGATTTGGGCATTTTTTGTCTGGATCAAAAGTGTGATTTTTACTAAAACAAACAAACTGAATATTGGTAGGGGCTCCTACAAGGAATTGTGTGACTTGACCGGTACAAGCCATACAGCTGCCTGAACTGACTGTTAACTTTTGCGGTATTGTTCGTATTTTATTAGTAAAAACCCAAGCCAATGTCCCACATTAGACCGCCGAAAAGAAGAGAAATGTCATTGTGTTAAAAGTAAATAAATAAGATAGAACAAGGGATAGGGACAGGGCTAAATCTGCATTGAGGCATTCCTCATGATCCTCAAAACTATCGTAGGATTCCAAGCAGTGTACTTCAGAATCTCTCTCGACGTCGCTAGCGCTATTGTCACTTTCAGAGGCAATTTCGAGATGTCTCGATCGGGTACCTCGACTGATTTTCAGTAGT